CTTACAATTCATGGGATGCAAAATCTCCATTCCCTCCCAACTCCAGGGAGAGGATACTGCAAAATCTCCATTCCCTCCCAACTCCAGGGAGAAGGATACTGCAAAATCTCCATTCCCTCCCTACTCCAGGAGAAGGATACTGCAAAATCCCCATTTCCTCCTGATCAGCTGGGACTCAGGAGGTAGAGAATAGATGGGGGCAGGGCCAGTCAGAGATGGTATTTGCCGGTTCTCCGAACTACTCAAAATTTCTGCTTCCGGTTGTCCAGAACTGGTCAGAACCTGCTGAATACCATCTCCGGGTCCCCAAGTCTTAAATGTTGCCAAGGTTGGAGTCCCCTGCTTTATACGGGGAGGAAGATCCGAAAGCAAGAACAGAAAGAGAAGCTAGAATTAACTTTTTTGGGGGTTGCATTAAATCCTTCCACTTCTCCAAACTGTCAAGGAATTTTATTATTATTATTTTTGAACAAATATGTTTGGAGGAGAATTAGATAACGGCTTTTCCTTTTATGTTTCCCTCTGTCAGGCCTGTGAACACCGGGTAGGATATTAATGGCAATGTCGCAAGTGTGTGCAGTGGTTGTGTGAACGGCCGTGAATGCATGATGTGAAACAAGCATGCCCCACGGAAGCATCTTGGTGTTGATTTGCGAGGCTGTAGCACTCAGTGGCAGTGGCGTTGTGCATTGTGTTTTTTAAACAATATTCCAGTTTGGGGTGGTTGGGGGTGGGGGAAAAAAGATTTTTCTACAGGTAGTCCTCGACTTACGACCATTCATTTAGCGACCATTCAAAGTTACAACAGGACTGAAAAAACTCTTTCACTTTTGGCCATCACAACATCCTCACATTCACACAATCCACATTTAGGGGCTCATCAACCAGGATGTTTTTCAAACACCCAGGGCTCGTCTGATCTCTACTGGCAACCCTCCTAGCCAAACTTCCGAAATACAAAGTCGGGAATAGGGGAAGCCTATTTAACAACCATGGGGATTCGCTTAACAACCTGTTCTGACCGAGGCTTCCCAAGAGCATGAAGCAAACTGCTTGTCTCGACAAAAACCCCTTTTTATTAATTGACTGTGAATTCTGCTCCTTCACAGCCAGCAAAGTCTTTCGAGGGAGGATTTACGGTCATAGACCTTATCTGGCTTGGAGAGCTGCCAGGCCGATAACTGCAAAACTTGGCCAGGAGTCTCGGAGAGTCACGAACCAATGAAGCGAACTAATAAGTCTCCTGCAAACTCCACTCCCCTTTGGCTCCTTTTTTATTTCCTCTGGGAGGGGCCATTCATCGCCCACCTGTGGCCTTACTCCCAAATCAACCCCTGTTCTCTAGATGTTCCCTTCATTTGGCAACTCTGCGCATGTGCACACTGGGAACAGGCTCCAGCTGTTCTTCCGCCTCACTGTTGTCTGATTCCGAAGGCAGCTGGTAACTGGCATACGGCTCTGGCCCCCTCTCCGCCTCCGACACAGAGCCATCACCAGGGCCCTCCCCAGACTTCAGGATTGGCCCATCTTCCTCCCCAATCTCTTCACTGTCTGAATCTGCTGCCAGCTCTTCTGGCTGCTGGCGGGCCACAACACAACCATGTGGAAAGGGCGGTAACATTGGAAGCAACTCATTTATCCACCTTACCTTAGCCATGGAAATTCTGGCAGCGATTGTGGTCACATGCCGAGGACTTCCTGTTTTCTTCCTGACAAATGAGGAATAGCCCCCCCACTCAAGGTGCTATAACCAAGCGTTGGGATGTGGGCGTTTTATGTCTCCCTTCCCCGTCCTGGTGTGTAAGGAAGAAAGCTTCCACGCCACTAAAATTTTTGGGGAGAACCAGAGGGCCGTATTTTTTCTTCTTTTTTCTTGCATGTCTTTGCAGTTTCTTTACGGCTGAATTCAAGAACTATATTCTTGCAAAAATCTGCTCGGTGCTTTGAGGATTTCGGAATGTGGCTTGA